CAAGTATGATTGAGACCTTGATAAAGAATAATAAATGACACACTGTATCCTCAGTTCCTAAGCAGTCCATCAGGCGCCTGCGGCGGAACCAGGCGCCTGATGGACTGCTTAGGAACTGAGGATACAGTGTGCCATTTATTATTCTTTATCAAGGTCTCAATCATACTTGATAATACAGTATTTCTCAACCTTAACAACTGGGAGATAGGTGCCCATCTGCCACCCCTCTGTCCAGTTGTAAGGTTGAGAGAAACTGTGTTGTGGCCTGCTGGCCGCCGGCCCCTCCAGTAGTCGAATCAGAAGAAGTATGGAAATCAGGGTCGGCATCAAGGCAATCTGAAAGCTCTGAAAGGGACGAGGGCATGGAGCTGGCAGAGAGACAGAGAGAGACAGAGGTGGAGCCTGGATTGTCTGTCAGCCCTCAGATGGAGAGTCAAGAGCCCCCAGATCTGGAGTTGGCTGATGAGGCAGAACAGCTGAGTCCAGTGCCTGATGCGCGAATGCGAAGCAGGCAGAGGAGAGCAGTGGAAATCCATGGGCTGATCCATGGGAAGGAAGCTCCACTGCTGCTAGCGAAGCTCCACCGTAGCTCTGGGGATAAAAGGCAGGGGGCAGAGATGAATAGATGTGACAGAAAACTATTGATCTCTGGCCAGGTGGACTTGTTAGCCTGCAGTGAGAGAGAAACTTTTTTCTGGGGTTGCTGGCCCTCCTATAAAGGAATCTTTGAGTTAACTTCAGAGGGTATGTCGTGTTTGGGGAGTTGTGATAATTCATCTATACTGGAAAGAATAAGATGTTGAAATATAAGTATCTCCTTAACTTCCTTCCTGGTGAAGGAGTCTAGGTATACCTGTTAGAATTAGATTTGGATTGTTGTGTACCATATTTATAATAACATTTAAAAGGCAGGATGAAAATTAGGGAAGATACATAATGATAGGTTTAACTTTTATACAGCCATGCAATCGGATTGCTTAGTACTACTGGTGATGCAACTGGTTCTTATTTCTTTCCCTCTTTCCTTATTTCAACCTTGTCCTTTTGTGAAATTTGTTTAAATTTTTATATAAAGCTATGAATAACTCATGCATGCAATGCTTATTGACTTGTGTTTTTCACTAACATTCATTGGCCCTTAGGTCAATAGACGTAAAGTTGATTTAATAAGTCAATATGCCTTATTTTAATTTAGATTAAGTTTTTGTCTGATTCAGCACTTTAGCTGTCTTTTTATAAATAAAAATCTCATGTCAATTTATTATTAAAATTTATGTCAAATATAAAATGTTTTCTGTAGGACTAGAAATCCCCTGTTGACTTATTATTTTTAAGCATTTCCAACCCAGTATTTTGAAAGTGACCTTCCTGTTTTTATTGTGCCCTTTTAGATGCTGCATCAGCTATTGCTCAAAAGGAATTCAACCATTAATTTGTACAGCTGGCTCCCGACAATAAGGGCACACTTTATTCTTATTTTATAGATCTTACAGTGCAGAAATATCAATGTATTGGACTTAGATAATAATTTTCATTTTTTATGTTATCTTTCTGGAATTGAAGTGTTAAAAAAACGATCACTTGTTGAACTTAAACTAAACCAGACTTCTAAATGTGCATTAAATGCAAAAAGATACTTTAATTCAGTTAGAGTGTGCTGCAGAATGTTTCTGACGATGAGATGAGTTCTCAATGGGAAAATATAGCTGTGGAGTTTCCATTTATGTGAAAATTGCTCTTTTACTGTGCAATCCCCTTGATAAGATTATTTTTTTCTGTCTTTTGATTTACTTTCTTATTAAGAGTTACATTCATAAATCTGTATTTTTCTTCTTAGGCATTGATTTTAAAGTAAAAACAATTTCATGTGATAATACAACTATGAAACTTCAAATATGGTAAGTTTTATAAGGAATATAATTAGCTTTGGTCTAATTCTTGATATATGCATCAGGATATATACACTTACAAGCCTAATGTGTATGCACATTGATTGACTATGCCAGTCAAGTCAATTTTTGACTCCTGGTGACTGCTTGGATGAGGCAGAATTCTTGGCAAAATTTGGAGAGTGATTTGCCATTGCCTCCTTCCTGGGCTGAGTAACTGGCCCAAAGCACGCAGGTGGCTTGTGCCTCAGAATGGGATTAGATCTCATGGTCTCCCAGATTATACCCTGGTACCTTAAACACAGCACTAGACTGGTTCTGATGTATTCAGAATAGGCCATAAACTGGGTGAAAAGAAACTTTCTTTCATAGGGCAAAAGTCTTCAGATTAAGAATCTTTTCTATAGCCAAGATTCCAGTATCTGCTCTGGAACAGTTTTCTCATGTAGAAGGCCTAAGATATATATATCAAAGGAAAACCAACAGGATCATTCGAATTTCCACAAGTCAGTCCTGCTTCTACTTTTAATTCATAGATACTGTAATTGCACTGAGTACACGTGGCTCTTTGTCTACAGTTCTGCGGTGAAAAATAGTGCTAAATTATCTATTATAATTTATTTTAGGGATACAGCTGGCCAGGAAAGATTTCATACATTAACTACTAATTTTTTCCGAGGAGCACATGGATTTGTTCTTGTTTATGATATCACAGATGGAAAAAGCTTTCAAGGAATTTCACACTGGATGAAAGATATATATGAGGTAAGCTCTTCTGGCCTCTTTTCACCCCTCCCTTGAGTCTAGCTGGAGATTCCATCACAAGATTGAATCCATAAATGGCACATACAGCACAGGAAATCAAAGGAGCACAGCAGCTATTTTGAATATTTTCTCTTTATGGAGGCTAGGGGTGGAGGAATTGGTATTTTCCAGCATTAAATTGTTGTAAACAAAATCAGGGTCCCAACTTTAGTATGGTGCTCATTTATCTTCTATTTCAATTATGGAATCCTTACAGATAAAATTACTTAGCAGAATTTTACAATTATCCAGATATATAGCAGATGGTTGGAGTGTACAAAGTTGAAAGTTGAAAACTTTGCTATTGGATAGCAATTGCCAATTATTGGCTGTACATAATTCCCCACACACATAAAATAAAAATAATTAAGTAAAAATAATTTTTCCCATTGGCTTGTCTATTTGTCTATATATCTTAATAAATTTCAATCTAGGTAAATACAGTGTATAGTTAGAAACAGTGTATAGTTTTAAAATTCTGTTCCCTTGGATTATCCCCTGAATATTTACTTTCCTTGGGTTATAAATAAGCAGTAATGGCTCCATGACAATATATTAAAGATGTAAACCTTCAACAAGATATTAGATCCTAAATTGGTAGAATCAGAAAGTGGCTCATCCGTCTTTCCAACTAGGATGGCTTATTCTTTTTTGCTTACTCACTAAATATAAGAGGGAGTTTGCTAAATCAAAATTCCACTTGCTACTTTGGTAGTTTTAAATGGTAAATTTAGTAACATTTTACTTAAAGAAACATACATAAACTTGTAGATCAAAAACAATAGCAAATATATTTTTTATTGTGGAATATGCTAATTTTTATAGAAAGAGTGACTTCCCAGATAGCACAGATTTATTTTACATTTCCATATTTCTTTCAGTTAAAAATAATATACCATGTTACAAAATTATGTGACATTAGATATTAGTAAACATCTGAATAAACCTAGCATTGTCTTAAGAATAATAATAAAGGACAATTTGATTCTTATCTGGAAAAGTATTGATTAATATGCCGAGAAGCCAGAAACCTATTGTCTTTATACAATATTTTATTATTTCTAAATGTTTGCTAGCCTTGGCCTTTGGCTGTAAAGAATACTTTATCTACTACATGCTAACTTAATCATATTTACTGGTTTGAGAGGCTTGTTTGCAAAAATATAAGAAAAGTCTATTGCATTTAGATTGGAGTCATTTAATCCATTCTTTATTATAAGAGTTAATTGGATATTTTCAAAAAGCCCACAATTAGGTATGATGTTAATAAACTTCATATGCTATTGCTACTTTGATATTGTATTCACTGAAATGTTCCTGTAACAGTTAAAGTTTTCTTTAGCCAGCTTTGCTAATGGCTTGATAGCTAATTTTGTATGCTACTGTCTATCATATTATATATTATTTTATAAAGGTACTAAAACCAGCAATTCTTATTTTGTAGTGTTGAAATCCATGTATTAATTATTATGAAATAGAAGCACCTCCCCCAATTTGTTTCAAATTTACAATTTCATTAGGTGAACATGCATTTTAGATTTTAAAAAATTAAAGTATTTTTGCCTTAATATTCTGCTCTAGCACTTAACCTGAGCTAAATATTAGGCCTCTTAGATGAGTCACTATAACCTGTCGAACTGCATTCTAATCTAACTGAAAGAAATGATGTATTTACAAAATTGCAATCTTCATGTTAGTAGCTTATGGCTTATGAAGCACTTTATGCATCTTAGGGAGCCCTCTTAAGGACACTTCAATTTCTTGCTATTCCTTTTTAATAGCAAGAATTAATCTCCTTCAAGCAATTAAAATGTATTTTGTAGTACAAAGTACATGTTCCTGTTTTATGCATGAGGTATACAAAAGTGCTGTTGTGTCTTCTTTTTTTTGTATTATGTGTATTGTTTGGATGTGAACAATATCTGTAGTTATTTTTATTGGGCAAAATATGTTTTTCTAATGCTCTTTGCTCCTAAGCAAAATTAATTCCTTGCCTCCTAATTAAGTGGCTATGTGTAAACTTTAATCCACCAGGTGATTTTGAATGATTAACAATTGAGGAATAAAACATTTATTTGAAAAGTAGAAAAAGGATAAAATGAGGTTAAAAAGCAGATAAGCAAAGAAAACCGTGATTTCTTCAGTTCCACTACCAGTAATAATTTCAAGCAGCTGTTAGTGTTTGTGTCAAATCACATCTCATTGCATGTTAATTGCAAAGATATGTTAAATAGCAGATCTGCTTAGGCTCCCAGATTTTTTAGATAATCCAGAGCAAGGCTGCCCTTGTATTGAGTCTCTATGTAATCAATTACTTTGGTATACTAATGTGGAAAACTACTATTGAACTACTCCTCCTAGTGGCTGATAAAAAACATAATGCTGCTCATAAGGAATCCAGAATATGAATTAATTGTTCTTAGTTTTTAGAGCTGAAAAATCAGACTCAAGTTCTCCTATAATAGCTATCTGCTCTTGGTTTAAGGAATAAATGGGAAAAGAAGCCAAATTAAATTCTTGATTTCTCAAAGCAATGTTGATTATCTGAATTGGGCAAATAGTACCACAAGGAAGGAATCTGTGTTAAGATTTTAATTTAAAGTAATATGTAAATGTATTTTTGCAGAAATTTTTTAAATGTATTTTCTGATATGACTGCTTTAATTCAATATTGAATAAAGATACACATATCTAAAAAGTAGAGAAGAATTTTATAGTTTGTTTTTAAATGTAAGAATTTTAGTCAGTTTTTAGAAAGCAAATAAAATTAAATCTTTTCTAATTAATACAAATTATTATATGATATACTTATCTATTCACAATTCTGTATTTTAGGAATGTAATATAATTTTATGTAGGGGAGCTATTGACTTTAATGAGTAAAGCTCCAGTGCCTATTGGGGAAAAAAAATCAACATTTTGGTCCACCACAGGTTAGATTGATTCATTATTTTAAGCCTGTACTCTGATAATGAGGTTATTTCATTTTAGAAACTGCATTATATTGAACATCAGCTGCATTTATGAAATGAGATTAGTTGAGTAAATTAGAAAAGATGAAATGGCAGACCTTAATAAATCTTATCTAGTGCTCTGCTGCTAAAACTGAGCAATACAGTTATGATGAGTAGGTATGCGGGATACTAATAACTCTATTGACTGTCATGAATAATAATGCTGTTCCTTTGCATATTTTCTGTGTGTTGGGGTGATATGAGATCACTGTACTCATGTAACTTAACAGATGCAAAGCAAGTGGTCTTCTTGTTTTATTCTATTTACATGTCTTTCTTTTTGTTAAGAGTTAATTAGTTTAACTTTCCTGGCTTTAGCATAATTCTATTTAAAACTTATAGGGTAAGAGTGTGATTTCTATAGACTTTTTAAGGCTAATCTGACCACTTCAATTCTTGGAATCCTTGGGTGGGAACTGAGATCTATAAATGTTGAAATGAAGTAGAAAAGTTCCATACTTTGATACATTGCATATAAATTTCCAAGTTCATATTGTATTGAGTAATAGGTGGCTTGTTTTAAAAATATTTCATGCATAATTGCAATTTGTGACTATTTTTAATAGCTATCTGGCTTGGCTCAAGTTTTCCTAAACATTTGTAGAAATGTTGTGCAGTTCTTAACATATGTGCAATGCCAGAATGAGCTAAGAAGTGGACAGTTCCCTTATAATAATTAACTTGGAAGCAAATAAGGAATGAGATGATTCATTTGTTCAGTTTCATTCATTGAATATTTGTTCTCTTGATTGGTTGAAGTTTTCCTCAGGTTTACATTTTTTGTCTATTTGGGTGTAATAAGTTTTTACTTTTCAGATAGAGAAAATGTATATTGTAAGACTAGGCAAAAGAATACTACAACTATATTTCAATTTATTCATACTCATATTCTGTCTATTTATAGAAAGTAGGTGAAAATACAGACATAATACTGCTGGGTAACAAGTGTGATAAGGAGGCAGAACGTATAATTTCAAAAAACAAAGGAGAAAAGGTAGGCATGTATTATAAGTGATTGCCTTGTTGCTTAAATGTTTTAGGGTACATTTTAAAAATATATTCATGCATTATGACCATAAATGCAGTTGTTTACTATCGCAGAATAGCAGCCTGTTTCAATACTAAAGGACAATATAGCAAAGAATTATTTCCAATACTCCTTCTATAATTGGGACACTGCAAAAATAAACCAGTAGCAAAAATACTTAGAAATTAAATCTAAAACTTCTATTTTTCTTAATTTCATCCAATTTTTAAAAATATTATAAAACACTGCATTTAAAATATTATGGGTAGAGTTATAGAGTGGAATCCAAGGGTGTAAGGGTGGGCTTCTATTCACAGGATTATACTTTTCTTGTTGCCTTTAGTTGTCCCTGATATGGATTCAAAATTTGCTTTAACACTGTCTTCCAACTGAATGCTCCAATGACCTATTAGCAACGGAAGCTATTATTAACAACAGAAAGAGTACATTTAATTTCAATAGTTTTTAAAAAACTCTTCTTAAATTTTTAACAAGATAAAAACAATACAATTTTAGACAATAGGAAAAATAAAGAAAAATAATAAACAGACAAAGGAAAAAATATTTAAGAAATGACATACAATTTTCTTCACAGTGAGTACAGTATAGATGCATTTATATTTTGTCCGCTCTAAGGTTAAATCATAATTGGATTTCATTATAAATTAGAAAGTATGAGACAAGTCAATTCATTTAAAATTTGTTGGAGATTTTGAAAAAAAAAAACCCATGAGCTGCTTGCTAAGATTTATTTTATGCCCTACAATCTTACAAAAAAAAATGTTAAATAGAAAATAGAACACTTTCAGAAATTATTTTATTTCTGTCTTCTTCCACTCTCTACATATTTAATATTTTAAAATAATATCTCCCTTGAATATTTCACCCTGGATGCAAAAGGGAACGAGTTCATTTGTGGCTCTCAGAATTCCTTCCGACTCGGTTGTCAAAAATCAGTATTCCTGAATTTTATAACTTCTCAAATGAATATAAAAAGAGAAAGTGGCCCAAACAATCATCCAATAGACATACCCCAGGAAAAAAAACACCTTCATACTATAGATTGAATTTGGTATGACAGGTATTTCAAGTAGCATTCAAGAAAATTACAGTTCTTTTTTAAGTATTTGTGACAACACAGCTATGGTAAAAATTATCATAATAAATGATCACAAGGTGGCAGTGTTGAGATATCTCATTGGTTCACTTTAAGTATTTCAGCTCATTTTCCAATTTTCTATGACTACCCTACAATTGTTAGCTTACTAGTGGAACAAAATCCATGGTTTCCTTTTCTTAATCTGCCTCTTGCCTCAGTTTCCTTTATGTTCTGAATTGCCTCTTAAATGAAACTTATCTGGATTCATGCAGTACACTGAACCATAAACTCATCACATGGACTGACTTCACATAACATGCTGGGTTGAAACCTAGTTGTTAGTGTGCAAACCCAAGACACTTTCTTTTCTCATTCACACAACACTTTCTACGTTTCTTTTAATGCAAGTTTCATAGCAGGAAAAGGACTTTCACTTGGGCGAGGTTGTAGAAATCTTCCTGTTATCCATGTTTTAATTTGCTTCCCTTAGATTTGCTTTTGCTGGCACAAGTGAGTCTTTATTATTATTCCAAACAATCAATTATAGAAACTAGAGGAAGGCAATAATTACAGGTGTTCAAAATAGCTATAAATTCTCTGCTTTCCCCATGGAAATAAAATAAAAATAAAGATATTTGCCATGGAGCTATACTGAATTCAGGTGACTCAATGATATTTGCTACTCAAAAAAGCAGTCGTCCCCCCCCCCCCCAACTTTCCTATTTTTTCCAAAATGTCTCCTATAGAAGCTGCATTTGAAATGTAGGGGTTCCCATATGGTGGCTTGTAGAATAAACATCTGAAATCATGTTATTTAGTTACTTTTGCTGACTCACTGATGGCTGGCGGGGTGGGGTTTATCTACGGAGAAGCATTAACAGGGATTATGAGAACTATCTATAGCAGTGATGGCGAACCTTTTTGGCACCAAGTGCCAAAAAGGGAGTGTGTGTGTGTGTGTGTGCTCGTCTGGGATGCGACCCTGAAGAGGAGCTGCCCAATGGGCATGTGTGCACTGGAAAATGAACTTCCGGTTTCCGGCACGTGCGTGTGCACCGGCCAGCTAGTCTTCTGGTTACTGGCGTGTATGACAATCAGCTGGTTGTTGCGCATGCTCATGCTGGAAAACAGAAGACCAGCTCTTCCGGTTTCTGGCACTGCTGCATGCACTGAGGCCAGCTGATTGTAACATGCATATGCACGCCAGAAACCTGGAAGAGGGACAGGCAATGCCGCTCATGCTATGTGACATGGCTTCATGTGCCACTTCGGGCATACGTGCCATAGGTTCGCTCTCACAGATCTATAGGATTACTATCAACTGAAAACATACTATTAAAGTTTAACATACTTTGGAATGTAGTATAAATTATTTTTAATTCTGTAGGTTTATCTGGTTCCGTTCAGTCTGGCAAAGATACTTCACATCATTTACTATCTGATCTTTTTACTGGGTATCTCAACAACTAAACATGATTATGGTTGCATTGAAAACATGCTGCACCATATGCTCCACTATGATGTCTATTTTCATCACTTTTAATGTAAAGTATCTGCTGGTTATAAGCAACAAATGTACCATCTTCGAGAATATCAACCTTTGTGTACTACAGATTTGAACCTAATAACTTTTATTGTGGCCCCAGGAACCAGCTAGACCCAAAGTAGCGGCTCCAGTATTATTCAGAGAGAAGAAAGATGGCTCCTTTCGTCTCTGTGTGAACTTTAAAAATCTTAACTGCATTTCTGCCCAAAATCTCTACCTTTACCACTGATGAAGGACATGCTAGCGCAACTAGGGAAGGGGAAGCTCTTCACTAAATTGGACCTGCGGGAAGCATACTATCGGGTCAGAATTAAAGAGGGAGACGAGTGGAAAACTGCATTCAATTGCCCTCTTGGTTGTTTTCAATTTCGAGTTATGCCGTTTGGACTCCAGGGGGCGCCAGCGGTCTTCTTGTGCGCATGTGCAAACTGTGGATGGCTGCCGTTTCTTCCCCGCTCCGACTAGGTAGGCGAAAAGACACTAAAAATACCACTGAACCTAGCCAGAATCCATGCGGGAAGGAGCCCCAATGGTAGAGGGTGATCCAGGGGACACGAGCAGGCGGTTATTGGGGGGGTCGCCGTTTTTCGAGCGGCTCCCAGTCCATGCGACCGCCCTCGGTAGTCCTCCTACCATCTGGCTGTAAAGGAATGGCGGCATGCTGATGGCACCGTTTCCCGGCGGTTTTCAATGGCCCCAGCGTCCTTCGACCTCGCTGTTTGACTCCT